AAGAACGTTTAAAACATACACGTAATTAAAAGGTCCCATAGCACTCTTATACCTTAAAGCAACCTCCATATGCCTACTTAGTTTCAAGATACTTACCACAAATCAGTCAAGCCCTAACTGTTTATTCACCATGTGAAATACAAAAGAATGTTTCCAGACCCATGATTGCAAAGGGCTGTGCCTGACACCCATGCACACCACATATGCTGTCCTGGTACAGTCTTTCCTACTACTGGTCACACATTTCCCATGTCTCTCATCCTGTCTGTAATACCATCTTCAGCCCCTTACTACCAGTTCCAAAGGGGAATTCCATTTTTTCCAGACAGGAAGTATTTGGACTACAAATATTCCACAACTATTCCACATTCATTGTTAAAGGAATACTATGGGCTTTAGAAATACCAAATTGCAAAATACTGCTTTGACAAGTCTGCTATTTGTAAATACATTGCTGAGAATATCAGTTATTTTACATTCCTCTCAAAACTGGACATGACTTGGCCTTACTCAACTATATTTAACAATTATATTTAACAATTCAAACAGGGTATAAGCAAATTCTGCATCAACAGTAGGATCCAGTTTTGCATCCATTCCACTACAGATTTGTGTGAAAAGCTAATTTCCATTTAACATTAGCAATTCACAAAGATTTCAAAGTAAATTGAAAAAAAACTATAAGCAAACACACACGCTAAAATTAATTATATTCTCTAAGTTATTCAATGCTTAACAGATGTATTCAAACTAGTCATCTCTGCAATTCAGTTCAAGGCTACTGAATAAAAGCAATTCCAAGCACATCCACAAGCCCCATTTAACACACTGGATCAACAGCACACAGTATCCAGTTGTGAGAGAACAGCCAGGATCAAAAATAATCCAATCAAAATTTGGAGAGAGTTTAACTTCTGCTGATTTTCTTTACTACGGCCAAAAAGATTACTGAAATATACCATGCTAGTATAAATTTTTTTTCATTTAATACCCCACTTCTTCATAACCACTCAATTGATTTTCCCACATTTCATATAATCCTTTTTAGTCCTTAGTTCATAATTGTATGATTTCCCATTCTGAATTTCCACCACAGAAGTGCCTTCATTATTTCCAGATAAAACAACATTAGCCAAGAAAATAACATTTCAAACAAAAAAGGCTAGAAAATACAAACAAAAAATGAATGCTCACTTGAAAACTAAACAGTAAATGGATCGTCATCCAAGTTCCAAGTTCAGTGTAACGTGAAAATCAACTAAAGTGACGAAAACTAATTTTTTTTTGTTAGTAGATGCAGTATTTCCCCAAGAAGTAACAATTTCCTGCATATTTATTCATGCAGAGATGAGCTATATTTTAGCAAGATATTACACACATGATATCTGTCCAAGCTTTTCAACAAGAGTTCACATGGTTTTAATCACACAGTGCATTTCAGGGAGGAAAAAAATTAACATATGACAATACAACTTTACTCCTAAAAAGGGTTTAGTTTGCTGTCTGAAATTATGGCTTAATCCCTGACTATATGCAATTTATCAAAATGGCAACATATAAAATAAAGACAGTAAAAGTTATGGGAGATATTTTATTAATGTACAATTTTATTAGCGATGTACAATAGACATTTTAATTCTCTATTTATCCTGTCTTCTTGAAGCTTGGTAAATGCTTGTTTGCATATAAAACTACACAATGCTTTTTCATGAGGACCAGAAATTGTGAAAATCTAAGTGCTACAGTATATTTTGTAGTGATTTAACACGTTGTCCAGAAGAGTTACCAGCCACTTCAATGAAGGACTTCTAAAAATATTTCTGATCAAGTTCAAATGCATCTGTTCATAAATAATGATTTGTTTGCTCATGTCCATTATACTGCTAAGTACAAATGTCTCCAACATAAAATACCGTTTCAATATATTTTTCCACATGGACAACTAGATAATCCAGTCATATTTACTTTTAAACAAGGCTAATACAAATTTACAAGTAAAGTAACTTCAAAATTTATTCCGAATAATTATTTTTTCAGAAGCTTTACTTTGGACAACGCAGAAGTATATTGCAAGTGACATTCTGCAGCAGAAGCTGGAGGCTTGAGAATAACAACTAAGAAAGAGTAAATATCAGCAATACACACTTTTACAAGAATTCTGACCATTCTGAATGTTAACATGAAAGACCAGATGCTTCAGTTTGTGCGCCTGTCAATCAAAACCTCCACACAAAAAAATTAAAAATTTCCCACAGAACACAGTATTTCAGAGAACGTGTTAGACACTGGCATGACATTTCCCAGATCAAATTGGCAACTGAAATTTAACATCCACATGAGCTTGTTTTGCTAAGCTTACTATTTCAGACAGCTTCACCACCTGAAAAACAGAAAATAAAAACTTAATTTCAAAACAATCCTGACTTGACTAAGCTGGATCAATCTTTTTAAACCGAATAATAATATCAGGGAATCATCAGTAAGATATTAGAGGGAGTCAGGAGTGGGATTACTATTTAGCTCAGTACTTCTTAAACATTTCTAAATGAAAGATAAACAACTCTTCTAGAAAACATTTCACAGAGTTTAAAAAGTCTGTTTCTCATTTAAAACAAAGTATCTTCATAAAATGCTAAGTTTTAAATATAATGTGCCACCGTGTTATTTTGCAAGGTGTTGAGGTGGCCACTCACAAGAAATCCTACATATCTAGAAGCCATTTCTTCTCTAATTTTTCGTTGCAAGCATTTCTGGATCTTATTTTGATACCTTAAGCAGCCTCATCTTCTCCTGTACAATGACTAAATCTCTCTGAATTATTTCCTGCTTAGAATGAAATGTCATAACTGATTAAGTGGTTCTTTGGGAAAAGAAAAATTCCTAAGTTTCCTCATGACACAAAATCCACCAGGTATCTTCTAATTTTTTTGCTGTACATTTCTAGTACAACTTTCTTTTCCACAAACAAAGCAAAGCAACACACACACAAAACAGTATATCTCAACATCTAATTATCTTATGAGGCCACATGATGATCAACTATGGTTTTAATCATGCACGCTGAAATAAAAAGAAGTGCTACATAGCATTTTTCAGCCACCTCAATTTAAGTATTTTCTCCCAATTAATAAAGCTAAGCTCTTAGCCATTCCCCCACCAAGGGGAGTGGCTGACCCGATCATTGATCCAGTTTTGGTTTGTGGGGTTTAATAGCTTCTGACTGCACCGTTGCTCCCCTGACAAATAATGCACCTACTAACTTGCATAATATTTGCTTCAGGCACTGTAGCAACCGGCACTGGGATTTATCCTGAGCTACCTGTAGCTGATTGAACTGAGTTTTAAATTTTCAATACTCCGCAATAGATGCTATGTTCTGAAAAGAGTATTCATAACCAGCTATCTTACCATTTTTGCAGCTTCATCCAAGTCATCACATGCAAGGATTTTGAGGCCACTAGCTGTTATCAAAGCTTTGGCATCATCAACTCGTGTACCTTAAGAAACAGATAAAATGCCACTTTTATTGAACAGAAGATTACTACTGCTACTACCTACTAGTCTCATATTTCTAGGAAGCCTCTTCCAATAGTTAGTGAATAAATCTAGAAAACAACATTAGAAGTTGAAAAGCAGAAAGTCACTTCTTATTAACTTGCCTATCTTCACCATCTAAATTCAAAATTTGCTTTATTTCCCCATTGACTTCAACTCACAGGCTGCGTGCTACACAGTATATAAGCTCAATAACACCTGTCAATTAGAGAGAAATATATTAAAATATATATGAAGCACACTCACCTTGCAACCGTACCACAATAGGGACTTTCAGCTCCAAATCCTTTACTGCTGTAACAATGCCTTGTGCTATAACATCACATCTCATAATGCCACCAAAAATATTTACCAGAATAGCCAGTACCTACAGAACCAATGACAATATTCACATTAAAAATGGCCAGAGACACATCAGATGAAAGCAACACACAGCCTTCAGTCTAAGGATAATTCAAGCTCTTTAACTGTATTAAGGGACTCTGCAAAAGACAGAACATTTCTGTTCTATAGAGCACCATCAACCAAAGCACAGTTCTGTAGAGTCACATACAGCAGAGCTGCTACTTCAGGGAACTGTATTTGTCAACTCTTTATCTTTCCATTGCTAACAGTACTCCAGCAAAGGCACCCCCCCCCCAGTAACTCCACATACTGAAAAAAGGAAATTTTTAAAACTCATACACAAGACCCTGTTTACATAGTTTACTTAAAAGCCAGCATGTTAAGAGATAAGTTATTTGAAATACATTTTATACAAGAGGATTGAGCCAGCAATTAAGGGATCTCAAGTGGTAGAAAGGAAGGTGAAAGATGAAACAAAGCAGGAATCAAAATGGGTAGACAGCCTTAAATGACAAAACAAACTCAACAAGACTAAACATTCCTGTGCAACTAGTTCATAAACAGTAACTTGGTTCCCATTATCTTGCAAGTAAACCAGCTCATCTGTGTGGCATTGTTCTTGCTCCTGCTACTAATGGGCAACTTTGACTGGCACCTCAGAATGCTGTTCCAAACAAGCCCTGAACTGAATCCTGAGTGCAGTCCGTGACAGCAGTGGGCTGCACTGCTCTGTAAGTTTCAGCACCAGGAATCCCAGCTATAGTTTTTGGTTGGTTTTGTTTTGGTTTTTTTTATAAAATAGTGAGCAATTGAAAGAAAGCAGAAAGGAAAAGTTGTCTTAAGAAGTCTGTTTGGACACCATCTGTCCACACATCAGCAGAGAATTTGCATTGCAAAAACTTTCCCCAAATCAGCAACTCTCAGATTCTGCCTTGTTTCTTCTCTTCTCTCTGTAATTCAGGTGCTGTGACTGTATCCCTCATTGTTCCCTCAATTTGCTGAAAAAATGTGAAGCAAGAACAAGGCTTATGAGGATGGGCTGATGGAGCTGGGGGTGTTTAGCCTGGAGAAAAGGCTCTCTACAACTGCCTGAAAGGATGTAGCAAGGTGGGGCTCTCGCTCCTCCCAAGTAACAAGCAGTAAGATAAGAGGAAATGGCTCCAAGCACCAGGGGAGTTTTAGATTGGATATTGGCAAAGATTTCTTCCCCAAAAGGGTTGTTAATCATTGGCACAGGCTGCCAAGGAAGTGGCTCAGTCACCAACCCTGAAGGTATTTAAGACTTGTATATGTGGTGCTTAGAGACATGGTTTAGTGCAGGACGGAGCAGTGTTAGACTTATGGTTGGACTCAATTTTGAAGGTCTTTTCCAAATTATTAAATGATTCTGCAACACACGGAGCATGTTACAGACCCTGCATTTGATAATAAATCTTTCCACTGAGAAAGAGACTAAGCTCCTATAGAGCTCACCATTTGTTTCTGGCCCTTTCCAGAGATGATCAAGTGGTACACAAAATTGTGGTGCAAAAGTAGCATATCATTAGCAGGTCTCGCCAGTCATTCCCACCTTTTACAGTTACCCCTTCTCAAATTATTTTATTTAGTTTTAAAAAGCCCCAAACTACCAAGTTCCCCCAGGATAAGCACCTCTATGTAGACCATCAATCAAGCCTTCACATTATTTTTGTGGAAAAGCCCTTCCTCTAGTTTCAACCAATTTATTATTTTAATAATATTCAAGCACTTCTGATAAATTTTTAATAGGATAAACATTAAATCCCTTCCAAGTCCCTTATAAACGGGACTTACATTACATAGAATCAGTACCTTAGAAACTTGTTTGTGCACAGCACAGCAAATATTCATCTCTACAACTCTATGCAAAACACAGACCCAGCTGCAAAACTGGTCCAAAAGAAAAAAAAGTGGAAAATCAACTGAATATTGCTTTCTGTTTAAACGGCAGACAGTGGAAGTTTCTGACTCTAAGGTTTTGGGTAGATTGAAATACAGCTGTAATTTCAACCAGAAGACACAAAACTGTCTACTCAGTACACAGCCAAAAACTCTATTACTTAAAAAGGTAAAAAAAATTCAATAGATCATTAGGCCTCCTTCATCTGCACCACGATTAAGCTAAGATTTCCATCTTCTTTCTTTCTAATTCTGTGTTTATAAAAACATGTTTTCTGGAGAACATGCAATAAGCATTGTCTTCCAAATCATAGCCTGTTTCACCACTGTGTAGCACCTTGATATGCCAACTCTTCCCTCACCTTTTTATCAGAGGTAATAAGCTTAAAGGCTTCTGTCACTTGCTGCGCTGTAGCACCACCACCAACATCAAGGAAGTTTGCTGGAGTTCCGCCGTGAAGTTTAATTATATCCATTGTGGCCATAGCTAAACCAGCACCATTGACTACACGAGAACAAAGATAACATTTAGGAATTCAGTTTATACATCCACTAGGTTATTTAAAATTCATTAAATAGTACATACCTAAGCAGCCTATGTTTCCATCCAACCCTATATAGTTGAGATCTGCTTTTGCAGCATCCTTGTCTCTTTGGTCTTCCTGTGTCCAATCCTGCATATCAAAGATCTTCTTCTGACGATAGGCTGAATTGCTGTCAAAGTTTATCTTTGCATCCATACACATCACTGAAAGGGAAAAAACCCACCATTACTAACCATCATTTAATATCAGAATAACAACTCAACTGCTACATGAATGTGTCAAAGTATGTAAAGTCAAACTTGACATGCAGTCCAAACAAAAAGTTTTGTTAAAAAGACACATGTACCACTGCTAATAAATCCAAGATTCTTTCCAGTTTCCCCATATAATCAGTTATGCACAAAAAGGGAAGATAACTGTTTCCTGAGACACTCTAAACCCAAAAAAGCTTACAAGCTCTTTGTTAAATCTTGGCAAATTTTCTTACATCACACTGCAGCCTGGAAAAGAAGGGGGAAAATGCACCACCATAAGTAATTAGCATAAAATTAATCCTTAGAGAAGGTCTCTGATTTGAGCTTTGTTAATCTATCTTAGTTTTTGCTTTCAGAATAAATATATATAATGTGTGCATGACTGTAAGCACACAGAAACACAGTGAAGAAGCGTCTGAGCTGGAAGAAAACGTTATGAAAAAGCACACAGAAGTAACTTTACTTAAGATTTAGCAAGCAAAAAAGCTACAGAACTGAGTTTCTGTCTGTACAAATGTATCACTTCATTTCTATCCCTCAGTGAAAATTCTATAAAAATAACAAGGCACGAGAAACACATGGGAAAGACTGGTCTATACTAACCACTTAAGCATTATCAAAAAAAAAACAAAAACACACCAGTAACAGTAATTACACACTTTGATGAGAGAGATACATTCATATTTAAATTTCAAACAGTTGTATCTGAGTTCAAGTACAAATACTCTCTACAGGCTTATTTTTTGTAGAGTGGAATTGGTTGTGATTGAACATTAAGTAACTTCTTCAACTGGATTGCTAAAAACCTGACAAACATCAAGATATTACTTAAACCCCTACAGTCTTTCAATATATCACACTCCATCAGTTATTCAAATGCCTGAGTCATAAAGGCAGGAGATTTCTCGTGGTTGCTTCTATTCTGGTTATCATCACAGTACCAATTCTGGATACATGAAATGGCTCAAGTTTCCATTTGTGAATTTTGAAAAGACATGATTTCCAGGAATGCTTCATCCTGGGAAGATGTTCTCTTTATTAAAAAATTTAAAAATTAAAAAAGGAAGTTACTTACACTTAAGATCAAACTTAGCAATTAAGAGCAGATTCCTACTATATTTAGATTCTCAAATTTATCTGCTTTATTAAATTTGTTTTTCAACATACCATGTTAATGCTAACTTCTCTTGCTGCATACAGTTGAAGTTTCATCAGTAAGAAGCAACCAAGATTTACAAAAATGTCAAGGTGTTACATGAAGAGTAGGAATAAGAAACATTACCAACTCCTGATGCATCTTCCACCATAGGATTTATTTCTATCATGGTAGCATCATATTTCAGAAAGAGATTATATAATTTGATCATATTTTCAGCTGCTTCATCCACCAGATTAGGAGGAAATCCCATTTTCTGGGCAAGCTGAAAGTAAAAGAATGGTTATTGTTAACTCATTTTCATTAGCTATTACCTCCATGTCACTTGAATTTGTAGACCTGCCCTGTCTACTGGGGAAAAAAAACCAAACTCACTCTTTGGTTTGAACAGATTGTTTTCAATACAGAATACTGCATTTATCCTAAAAAAGAGCTAATAAAAATTTATCAGTATATGCCTTTGCACAGCTGTACAAAAACTAGATAAAGTACTGCCATGCAGTTGGATTTACACTGTTAATACTTAAATATCTAATTCAAATCTGTTTCAAACAAGGGTTTTAAGACAACTCAGCAGATTGAATGCACACACGCTTTACAAAAATTAGAAGCAACCCTCCCATCCTCAGTGAAGTGTACTTTCCCACATTAACAATTACCCTAACAGCTTGCTCCTTTTTTATGCCTTCTACTATATCGATGGGCTCCTTAATTATCGCCTCAGGATTCTCTGCAGCAACATCTTCAATATTAACACCACCCTGAGAACTGCCTATCAGCACAGGACCCTAGAACAAAAAGGAAAAAAAAAAAAAAAAGCATAAGTACTTTTATACCACTTAGTTCTTCCCATAAGATATTTCACAGGAATAAAACCTTTTTTGTTGAAAAATTTTTTATTTGGGCATTTTTCCTGTATGCTCTGATGAGAGTGTTACTATCTACTCAATACCTCCATATAAAACTTTTAATAATACTTTCCAAATGTGAAGTGTATGTCAGGTCCACTTTCTTTTAACAAGGAAAAATTTCATCTATAAAGCAGCAGCCAAATGATTAACACCAACATACTATTTTTAAATTTTCATAGAAAGATTCAACTTCATAATCACACACATTTTATCTTTTAGGTGTCACCAAAGAAAGTGTCACTACCTTCTCACCTCCATCTTCTTCACTCACTCCTACACAAACACAGATCGAATGCCAGGCATTCATTCATTCATTCTGCCATGCTCCAACTCCAAGGACAACTGCAGGACTGCAGAACTTACTGATAAATTACTGCAAACCATACCTGCTCAGTAGGACCACAACATTCAGTAACTAAAGTTACAGAACTGAAAGTAAGTCAGAGCAAAACAAAACAGCACTCAATTATTCATTAATAAAAAGAAGTTAAGAAACCAGAACTGACAGCATTTGCAGCTGAGTTTATTTTTGAAAAAGGCAAATCTCAACAAACATATGAAGGACTCACTACCATGGAACCTAAAAATCTCTCTGCCAGTTCACAGTAAAGACATACTTGGATCTCTTCAACCAACCTTCCCTTATCACCACCCATGCATGGATTATGACCTTGGGTGTACTAAGGCAGCATTTCCTATAAGCCAAACTCGAAGATTAAACAGCCTTATAACTGTTGACAATTAATTACAGAAAATGTGATGGTGGTTCAGAGAACATGCTTAATAACCACACCACTCCCCTCCCACTACCATCTTTCCAAATGGAAATATGTAGCTAGCAAGTTAACCTGCATCCAATAGCAAGGTTCAACTCAATGAACATTTTTGGATATTCTTATCTTGAACTATCAGTCAGCGACAAACCGATCATAAAATAACTCTTCGTTGCATAAAACTGACCAAAGTGAACAGTTTTGCTTAAAACACAAACCCCTACTGGTGAAAATTATCCAAGTCATAAAGTTCCAGTTTCAGCTGACTTTTAATCATTTTTCCTCTCCTTAAAGATAGAGGTTTTCAACAACATCAGGAATAAACACTGTGCCATTCAACCTTCATTTCCTTCTTTTGAAAGGCATTTTCTCATCCTAAGCATCCTATACAAGTTACAGTAATTACAAGCACATCTAAAAACATGACTTATAAAGTCAGCAGTAAAAACAAAGCACATCGCCATCAAAAGGCAACAACCCACACAGTATGATTAATATGTGCTAATAAGACTTCTTTTATACAAGAGCAAGAACAAGTCATGAAAACATGATTCCCTTCCTTATCTAATTTGCTTCAATCAGTTTCAGTAAATTTTATTTCCATAAGCATCATTGCTTACTGCTTACACAATTTTAAGAGTTTAAAATCTGTTCATTTACAGCATTTTAATGCCACCTTGTGGTGCATACGGTAACTTTTGAATCTTCCCTGCTCTATACCAGCACACATCACAACAGAGGTGCCCAAGTCTCATAAT